ACTGTGGGGAAGTCTTGTTTCTGTTGGACCAGTTTTACTGCAGCTGTGTAACTGAAACCTTTGGACCAGAGATCAGTCTCTCCTGAGAACCAGTCCTGGACTCCGGCCAGAGATCATCTCCTTCAGCCGACTGATACCAGGAAACCACATGAAACTGTACATGTAGGGGAAAACCACTGTACTATAGCTGCCCCCCCTCTGCCTGTCCCTCTTGAACCACTTCCAGACTGTCCTCAGCCACATTCACACTCTGCTCCAAACTGAAGTCTCTCAGCATGAGGTTCAGGCATTCATGTGTCCCTCAGGATGAATCGACTGTAGTGACCTCTGACCTTTGGTCCAGCTCTTTAATGTGTCCATTCCTTTAGTGTAGTCACCAGTCTGAGGTGTCCGTCCCGTCTAGGACGTCTTCAGGGGACACAGATGCTGGTGGAGGTCGTTAGGAGTTGGTCACTGTAAGGGTTAAACTACTGGTCCTGATTCAGTTCACTTCAAAGACCACGGATCAGCTGAAACCGTTAACTAGCCCATAGGTCACAGGTCGTCTGTGCAGCAGGTTATTATGACATCACAGTTAGGTTTTGTTGCTAACCAACATCTAGTGGTCGTAGTGATGATGACGGTAGCAAAGGGAGAAGTGTCGGTGACGTAGTATAGAGAGAGACAAAGTCCACGTCAGTAGGAGGTGGTGGATGGGTGACTGTGACACAGGATAGTGGTGTTTGATTCCCATGTTGTTTCTATTATCTGACCGTTCATTATTATTATTGTAACCATGACAACAGAGATTGTCTAATGTTGAGTAAGTACTTACTTTAACCCAAATCACCATCTTTTCCTAAATCTTACTCAGCCATGACTGTTATTACAGTAACCATGGCGACGAAGGTAGGTACTCCAGTCTTGAACAAAGTCTGTGTGTCTATTATTGTAACCATGACAACCGACGTCCAATACACCTGCCGCCAAAGGGGCACTATTTCAGGAGACACACCTGTGGGATGCATCAGATGGTTGGTGGTTGTTCAGGTTGGAGGAATTGTTAGCTCCATCACACAGACATCTAACAGCAGCATGAGGAGTTTAAGTACAGCAGTGAGTTACAGCGCCTCCTGGAGGCAAAGAGCTGGAACAGGAGGTGATCTGACATGATTTGATATAATCTTTGTGCACTTTGATTGATGGAGGTTTCCATCCAAACAGTCAAGCTACCACAGTCAAACACAGGAGTTACTACAGAGGGAGTCAACGACCTGTACACCTGCTACTACCCCCCCACCCCGAACCTGTGTGCCTCGCTGGCTGAGAGTCTGAGGGCTTCGGGAGGTCTCCTGCAGCCTGTGGCGCTGCCTGATCAGTGAGACCTACGACTTCAGTCCTCATCCTTGGAAGAATGTGGCTCTTTGTGGGACACTTAGCTTTCTAAGAGGTTTACTGGCCATTTTTCCATCCTGAGTGACCCCACACTGACCTTCAGCTCTCGGCAGAGCCAATTAACAACCAGCGACTGATAGAGGTCTCGATCTGAACCAGTTACAGCTCCTGTTAGACGTTGCCTGTTTTAAAAAGTAAATGTTCGCTGGGCCTCGAGGGAGGAACGACTTCCAGACTGAAACCAGACCTGAAACCTGAAACAAAGGCACTGTGTGACTCTGGTCGTTGTGAGACATTGCATCCGATAAAGTTAATGAAGTTTCCTAATGGCACGTGGAGAGAGGTGACGTTAGGTTGTGTGCAGGTCTCAGGGATTTTGAACTGTGTTGCCTTGACATCAGACGACCTCCTGCAGCCAGACTTGGCTAGTAGACTGCTGAGTCTGCATTATGTTGTTCAAAGAAACCAGGAATCAAGACAAGTTGGACTGAGCCGACTTTCTTTTTCTGGTCCCTGCTGGTTGATTCAATCCATCAGTGGTCAGTGTTTCCTGACAGTATTCTCTATATCTTTGTATGTTGTGGATCTATAACAACGTCACAAGACTTTTCCTGGAAACACCTGCAGGTTGTACTTGTACTATCTCGGTGCTGGTGCTGGTGCTGGTTCTGGTTCGGAACCTTCTAACCTTCTAAGGATTTACCACAGGATCGAGATCCACCACATCAGTACATCACTGGATACGTCTGTACCTGCCTTCACAACAACACTAGCAACAAAGAACAAGAACAACAACAACAAGGGCAGACGACATCATCTCGTGTTGGTCCTGACTTAATGAGTTTACACCGGCATCTAAATATTTAACATTTCCAGATTTTTTATTAGTTGACCAAAATTTATTTAATCATTAAAGTAATTTTTCATGTAAAAACCTTGGACAAAATAATTATTCAGTCAATTGAGAAAATAATTAGGGGATTCATTAATAATCAAAATAACTGAGAGTTAAGAGAGTAAAGCTTCCAATTGTATGGGCTAAAGAATGAACTATTGTTTAACATCAGCACCTGAAAGTGGTGCCAGAGGAGGATCATCAGGGTTATTAGAGTTCATCCTCAGGGAACATGAAGGTCTGAACCACAGTCCAACAGCTGGTTCAGTCTGGACCAGACTGATGAACCTAACACCTGATCAGCTGTAAAAGCACATCATGTTCCTCCTGAACAGTTTCACTGTTGTGTAGAAACATGTTTGTTGTAGCTGCACGGTTTGTTATAGTGTCTGTTCGAGGTCAGACTGACTCATGAACACTGAACATCACGGAGGAGACAGTTTAAAGTGGAATAACTTTAGTTTAATATCAGTCTGTTTATGAACATGTCATGAGCAGCTGTGATTTACAGGTGAGCTGTCTCACCTACGTGCCTGCTCTCAGTCACAGACTAAGCCCCGCCCCGTGACTTTCCTCTGGTTTATTGTGTGAATCAACAGCTCAGAGCTGCTGTTTGTTTAACCTACATTTTCTTTCCTTCAGATAAAAGCAGCAGTTGTTCCTGAGCCGGAGGAGACGAGGACCACACCTCAGTCCAAAGTCTGACAGCGTGAAGTCTGCAGCTTTCTCACTTTACCTCTTTAATAAGACGTTGGTTTAATGTTCCACTCTCCTTCTGTTTGAGGCTTTTTTTTTTCTCTGTGTTCTGTCTTCTCTGTGTTCTCTGTTCTCTGTGTTAGTTTAGTTTAGTTTCAATTTAGTTTTAGTTTAGTTTAGTTTAGTTTAGTTTAGTTTAATTCAGTTTAGTTTAGTTTAGTTTAATTCAGTTTAGTTTAGTTTAGTTTAGTTTAATTCAGTTTAGTTTAGTTTAGTTTAATTCAGTTTAGTTTAGTTTAGTTTAGTTTCATTCAGTTTAGTTTAGTTTAGTTTAGTTTAATTCAGTTTAGTTTAGTTTAGTTTAATTCAGTTTAGTTTAGTTTAGTTTAGTTTAGTTTAGTTTAGTTTAGTTTAGTTTAGTTTAGTTTAGTTTAGTTTAGTTTCACAGTGAACTGAATGTCTGTTGGTTAGAGACGTGACCTCAGGTGTGACCTCAACTGTAAGATGTTATAACAGACGTTTCCACACTTTATAGCTTAACAGAGAAAATAATCATATCAATATTCAATAATGAAAACACTGATTGATTTCATCCTGTTACCTGACCGTTTAACCACTTGTCATCTCAGGTTTTACCTTTACAGAAAAATGTGAGTGAGCAAACTGTCCGTCCATTTTCAGCCTCACCTGGGCAGCAGTTTGTGACAGTGTGTATTCAGGTGACATGAGAGAAGACAGGGAATTATTAATTGGCAGATCTGATTATCTCATTAACCTCGGCAAAGAGTCAGAGCTGCTGTCAGGCAACAAAGATGTGATTAAGTCTGCCGGTCCACACACACACACACACACACACACACACACACACACACACACACACACACACACACAGGTCCATAAACTCATCAGTCCTCTTATCAGGCTCAGATAACAGAGACGAGGAACCTGAACACAGCAAACACTCTGCTGCTGTATCCCGCCACGCTCTGACTTTTATTCTAAAGGAGAACCCCTCCCCCACCCTCCACCCCCCTAGGAGTCTATTGTTCACTAAGTTTATTCCTCATGACACAAACACACAGAGTGGTCCCTGTGGGATGAGATCTGATCCCTGATCTGGTTTTAAAACAGATCCAGTTCAGTGTGACCTCCACTGATCATTGACAGTCACAAAGAAGATTATCAAACTTCTGCTTTAACCTCTTCAAGCCCAGAGTCTCTGAGTCTCCACTTAGATCATAGATCTGGATCACAGATCACAGATCCTCCGGACCAGAGTCTCCGCTCACTGTTAAAGGTCTGTCAGCTGCAACTCTGCTGCCTAAACGTTTCCAGAGTCCCTGAACTGGTCCTGATCACAGATCACAGATCCTCCAGTGGCTTCAGTCGCTTTTGTAAAATAAACAGACTGATTCTTTTCTGACAGAGAGCTGATGATGAAGACAGTGGGATATGGTTGAAAGCTTTTACATTCAGTCATTCACTCATCTGTCACTTTTACCCAGAGAGAATCACAGTGAGGGACTGAAGCTTCAGGAGAGTCCTGGTGTCAGGACTAAGACTACATCTGTTTAATAAGAGTGAACAGTCAGTTCAATGATCAGGTTTGATTCTTTTCTAACAACAGACACAGACACTGTGTGTGAACCTTGTATCTCCATTTTGGTGATATTCATGCTCTTACATCAGCTGAAGGATTTCATGATCCTGCACAAGTTCAAACCATTTTCCAGACCCCCTACACAGGACCTCCTAGCCTGGACCTCCTAGACTGGACCTCCTAGACCGGACCTCCTAGACCAGACCCCCTACACCAGACCTCCTACACCAGACCTCCTACACCAGACCTCCTAAACCAGAACCCCTGCGTTCCTGAATCCAGATCCAACACATTAAACATGAAGCTATTTTTCTCAAACAACTGAAGGTTTGAAGAAACAACTCCACATCTAAGAATAAAGGTGCAAACAGCTGATTTCTGCAGTCTGCCAGTCACACTCTCACATCTGAGTGAGTGGGAGGAGCCTCCTCTTACCTGTGATGAAGACTGCCTTGCCGTGGACGGGCAGGGTGGTGGGTGGCGGGACAGTCCTGGCTGTAGAGTAGAGGCAGCAGGCAAGGCAGAGCAGGGCCAGGAGCAGTACGGCCGGCAGGCAGAACGCCCACAGCCGCTCCACCAGCACTGTGGCCCCCAGCCAGGCCACCACAGTGGGGGCGGTGCTCAGGTGGGACGCCAAAATCTTCTTCATGGCTCCACCGACAAACACCGTCAGAACGCCCAGGTATATCCAGAAGGGAAGAGTGTAGTCATCCATCATCAGAGAGGACTGTGCTGCACCTGAGTTACCTGTCGGTCTGATTTCTTTCTCTCTGTCTCTTTGTCTCTTTGATTGTTTGTCTCTTTGACTCTGTCTTCTGGTCTCTGTCTCTTCTTTACTCCAACTTCAGTTAAACTCAGAGAAGAGCAGTGAGTCTGTTCTTCAGTCACTCAGACTCTGTGTGTCTCTCGACCGCTCTCGCTCTCTGCTTTACACACACTCTGTCACACACTCTGTCCACTCAGAGTGTAGCAGCCGGTTCAGAGCTTGTCCCTCCTCTCCCTCCGTCTCTCAGTGTATATATAGAGGAGAGCTGCAGGGGGGAGGGGCTAAGGCTGCAGCCCTGCATCTAATCTGCAGCCCACACACACACACACACACACACACACACACACACACACACACACACACACACACACACACACACACACACAGAGTTTCCTCACGAATACTGAGTATAGATTATTGAATGTTGAGTATTTTTAAGTTTTCTGAGACATAGAAAACTGGAGATACGGGATTCTAAGACAGAGACTGTGACAGTGAAGCCTAACTAAACCACCAATTTTCATGGTTCAGGATATAACTAGTAAGTGGACCTTGAGTTATGGTTGTTCTGTTTTTCATGTGGAGATACAAACTTTTTCACCTGGTGAGTTAAAGAGGCCACACCTCCTCCTGGTCATGAAGATGTGTTGATGTTTCTTCATCTCCAGTCTGTATGAAGGACTGTGATGTGATTGAGAGCTCCAGAAAAAGTAAGTCGACCTTGATTCGTTGTTCTGTCAATACTGTTTCTGTCATGAATAAACCTTGTATCTAAACCTTGGAAAATGGCTTATTAGAGAGGCCATTCCTGTCCCTGCAGTTTCACCTACATGCATGAAACTTGGTAGAAAACATGAAACATGCCAAGACGTACAAAAAAGCCTCTTGCACCCATAGTCAAAACCCAACAGGAAGTTAGTCATTTTGAATTTAATTAGCCATTTTGGTGCCGTTGTTGTCATTGTATTGAAATTGAACAAACTCCTGGAGAATTGATCATATCTCCAAAACATGAACATTTCTAGGACAAGCAGCTTCATCATTCTATCATGTTTTCTGTACAGTTCCAGAAAACTCCTTTTTTTGGGGGGGGGGGGGTTGATTGTCTCCAAAATGGAACAAAGTCCTCACAATGTGACATAATAATGTCTTCATAACACCAGCAACACACACACACACACACACACACACACACACACACACACACACACACACACACACACACACACTCTACTGATTAATTAATAATCAGTTCTTATCTTGCTGGACCTGGTTCAGCAGCCTCTGACACAGTGAACCATCCTGCTGTCTGTGCTCTCTGATGAGGTTTGAATCCTCTCACTGTCTCTGAGTCATAACAAAAACAAATGTCCTCATGTCCTCCACACTGGAGGCCCCCATGGATCAGGACTCAGACCTTTCCTCTTTGTAACAAACACCACCTACTTGGGTCCAGTTATTTGTACTCGTCCTCTCATTTTACCACTATGCAGACGACCCCCCGACCTCACCCTCTCTGTGGCAATTCACATGATAAAGGAACTCCACCGTCATCTAAACCTCCCTAAGACTGCACTCTAGTCATCCTGACCAATCAGTCTCTTCATCATGATATCAATATCAGCATCTCCTCTTATCCTCTTACCCCAACCAACCATAATTCTTGATTAGCAGAACCCCTTCTCCAACTCCTCTTTGCTCGAAACCACATCAGAAACATCAGGTCTGACCTGACTCAGTCCTCCACCCAGGTCCTGGTCCAGACCATGGTTCTCTCTCTCTCTCTCTCTCCCTGGACTACCGCAGTGCTCATCTCTCTATATTCAAGAACCTGTTAAAGCCTCATCTCTTCGGAGAACACCTTCTATCCTAACACGACTAACATAACTAACTAATGTAACTAACATAAGAAATAAAGCATCTGTCAAATGAGTGAATGTAAATTAAATGTAATGAGGTGAAGAATCTTTAAACACATGACTCATCTGTTCTTTGTGCTGGAGTGTCCAGCCTCTGTTCTCAGGTTGTCACTGAATTTTAATCTTTCACATATTGGCCGGAGTTTCCTGGAGGTTTCCAGTAAACATGACGCTGCAGAGGTGGGTCAGTGTTTCTCAGCAGCCATGGCGTTGTCTACACAGGAAGACTAAAATGAGACATCAAAAGAACAACAGCACAAGATGTTCGTCTACTTAGCAAATTTGTGAATACAACTTTGTTGACATTTATATAAATTCTGAGAAGCTGCAGGGAAACAGACATCCAGAAACTCAGTCAAGATCTTTGAATGTGTCTTTGACTGAACACAGAAACTCTCCTGGATGATGTCATACAGGCTTTAAAGCATGCTGGTCTGGACTCACATGGTCCAAACTCAGGGTCAAGTTCTTACTGAAACCAGCTGAGCCTCAACTCACCTGTACCTGACTGGACTGGGACAAGTCCAGACTGTTGACAGTGACACTTCATCTGTGAGGTGTAGAAACAGATCAATCTAAATCTACTACAGACCACTCTGTCTGTTCATTCTCTTTGTAGAAAGTAGAAACAAAATTTCTTTTCATGTGTCATTCATCTAACCAATGGTGGAAATACGATCACTTAGTCAGTCAGTCAGGGACATTCGCCATTATTGTCATGACCTGCCAAGTTACTTGAGTTCATGGTTCTTTTTCTTTAATGTTTCCCTGTGTTTCCTGTTTTATTTTGGTAACCATTGTCTTGTCTCGTTTCAGATCCCATGTCCTATCAAGTTTCCCTCCTGTGTGCCTACCTGCCCCGCCCTAATGTGTTTCACCTGTGTCTCATTGTCTCCCCTGCCTTAGAGTATTTAAGTCCTTGTCTTCCCCTTGTGTTGCCAGATTGTCTTTACCCCTGTGTGAGCGCTCCACCATTATCTCGTGTAGTCCCTTATGTTCGTGTGATTTTGCCTGTTCTTTGACCAGTGAGTTTTGCCTGACGATTGTGATACTTCTACCATATTGACTGATCACCTGTGTACCGATTTTTGAAATGATTAAAACTTTGAACCTGACCCTCATCTGAGTCTGCTTTGTCGGTCCACATCCAGTGTGTGCTTGACAGTACGATCTGGCCACACCATGGACTCTACAGACTCAGATCCGCTCCGTGCTGCACTCCAGGAACAAGGACAGAGGATTCATCATCAGGAGGAGCAGTTAAGTGTTCTCCAGCCTGAGATGAGAGAGAGGGTCAGATCGTCAGGAGAGCCTATTGGCAGCCTTTGGTACGCAGATGAACTTCCTGGTGGAGCAGATGCAAAAGCAGCAGATGCTGTCCGCTGCCTGTGACGTTTGCATTGGCTCTTCATCAACGGCTTCTCCAGAGGTGCCTTCTCCTGTGGGTCCTGCCGGTCCAGTCCGGAACATTTTTCAGGTGACTCCGGAGACTGCAGAGCTTTTCTTGCTAATTGTGAGTTATATTTTGAATTTCAAGCCGCCTCCTTCACTTCAGATTGTGCTAAAGTGGCATTAATGATTTCCCACATGTCCGGTCAAGCTGAAGCCTGGACCACTGCTGAATGGAATAGGGGTTCGGCTATCTATAACTCACTGCCATTATTTAAGGAGACTCTTATTCAGGTTTTCCAGACAGTGTTAGCGGGTCGGGATGTTTCCAGGTCTCTTGTCCCTCTCTGCCAGGGTAAGAGAAGAGTTTTGGACCATGCTATTGAGTTCCACACCCTTGCAGTTGAGAGTGGTTGGAATCAACCTGCACTGTCTGATCCCTTTTTCAAGGGTCTATCGGAGACTTTAAAGGACCACCTTGCTCCTCTGGAATTACCTATTGAACTGGACGCTCTCATTGCTCTTGCCTCCAAGATAGACAAAAGACTATATGAACAAGAGAAAGCAAGACTACGCACCAGCAGCTCCATGACCAACCAGCCTAGGCAGAATGCAGGCAGCTCCTCAGCCTTCCTGGCAGCGTCCACCTCCTGTGACCCCCACTGAGGCACTCCCCAGTGCCCTGGAGAAGCTGATGCAACTTTGGAGAACCAGACTGTCACCCAGGAAATGTCAACGACGCAGACGAGGGCCGCTGCATATATTGTTCTCAGATTGGACATTTTCCCAGCAGCTGCCCATTGAGAGGCAGAGGTGCAGCTGGGAGGCAGAACGTTCTGGTAAGTCAGACCTTGCTACACCCAAGTTCTGCTCGTCAGCTTCCGACAGTCAGACTTATGTCTTCCCTCGCCTCCCTTAGCCATCCAGCCCTCGATGACTCTGGAGCCGATGCCAACCTCATGGACTACGGCTTGGCTAAGAAATTAAAACTTTCCCCTCTGCCTCTATCTCAACCTCTCAAAGCTAGCGCCCTGGATGGTCACCTTCTCTGTACGGTAACTCACCACACTCCACCGGCTACACTCTCCTTCCCTGACTCCCACACAGAGAGTGTCAGTTTCCACCTTTATCATCCTCCCCAGCACCCTCTGACTCTGGGTCATCCCTGGCTCCATGACCACAACCCCCATGTAGACTGGCACACAGGCAAGTTTATACCGTGGGGAGCTAATTGTAAGCAATGCTGTTTCCCAGACTAGTCCACCCCTCCTGCCCATGTTCCAGTCATTTTGGGGTCCCCTGCTTCAGAGACTGATTTACCTAATCTCTCCAAGGTTCCTGCTTGCTATTTGGAGCTTAAGGAGATTTTCAATAAAGCCAAGGCCACCTCTTTTTGCCCTCGTCACCCATATGACAGCGCCATTGACCTGCTGCCGGGCACTTCTCCCCCCAAAGGCCGTCTGTACTCCCTGTCTGCTCCAGAGGAGCAGGCAATGAAGGAGTACATCGACTCTGCTTTGGCAGCAGGAATCATCCGCCCATCCTCATCTCCAGGGGGCGCGGGATTCTTCTTTCTGGGCAAGATGGTCAAGTCTCTCCAGCCCTGCATTGATTACAGAGGCCTTAATGACACCACCATTAACAACAGGTACCCCCTCCCATTAATCTCTTCTGGTTTTGAACTGTTACAAGGTGCTAAAGTGTTTACTAAGCTTGATCTGCGTAACGCTTATCATCTAGTCAGAATAAGGGAGCGGTATGAGCGGAAGACTGCCTTTAACAGCCCTAGTGGACATTATGAGTACCTCGTGATGCCTTTTGGTCTAATGAACACTCCAGCTGTGTTTCAGGCCTTTGTGAACGACATCCTCAGAGACATATTTAACTGTTTTGTGTTTGTTTAT